GGGGTGTGGGGGGGGGGGGGGGGGGGGGGGGGGGGGGGGGGGGGGGAAGCAAGGTAGGTAGGTGGACGTTACTACAACATTTTACAAATAAGGAAAGTGAGGTCAGCTCTTTCTTTCCCATGCCATAGCCATTCTGATAACAAATTCTATCAGCTCTACTTTAAAGTATATCCAAGTTTGAATCTAATCAAACCTCTAGATTTAACCTAAAGGGACAGAGGAATAAATTTGAGGGCCCCACAAGGAAGCAATCAGCCACACCCAGAATGCAGGACGTTCTATGGAACAATGGATCCACTTATTTCAAATAAGTCACATGAAAACAAAAAACAAACAAAGGAGGGCACTGTTCCAGATAAAAGGGACATAGGAGATACAAAGATCTGAGACAACACACGGCTCTTGTTTAGAACCCAGATCATCAAATCAACTATAAAAGGACATATGTACCAGGTAGGGTCCTGGACAGAGACGGCACACCCACAGTGGGCAATTGGGGACATAGGGCTTCTCTCTTTCTCCCTTTTCTTTTTAGAGAGATGTGGACAGGGCCAGAGACCCAAAGGAATGGTGTAGTCTTCAGCAGCTGCCAAGGATGAGAAGCCTGTGTCATAGCACAACTGAGAAGAGGAAGCAGCTCTTGGAACCCGAAGAGGGTGGCTGTCTGGGGAGGTCCACCTGACAGGAGCTGTGACCTTGGGTAGAAAGCTGCTGCCGACCCTTAGTGTTGCAGCAGGAAGGGAAACAAGAAATAAATACCCCCACTGCTGTATTCTTCCATCTTGTGATGGCTTTCTCGTGCCTCGGTTTGGCTGACTCTTACAGTCAGCTTCAGGGGTAGTGTGAGATGGAACGTGGAGAGTGAAAGATATGGAAAATGACAATCCCTGGGAAAAAGGAAAACATAATCCTTTCCCAGTGACAATGAACCCCAGAGGAAGAAGATAAGCTTGGGACTTTCCATCCTTTCCCAGCAACACTTTTACAACCTGTTTCCTGACTGCCCAAACACACACGTTCTGCAGAAGTCTCCAATGATTAAGTCACTCTCATTGTAACCTATAAAATGCAGACCCCTCTTGTAACTGGGGGCCATTTTCTATCCCCAAAATGAGCCCCTCCAATGCCTGGCTGATTGACTCTGCAGCTTAATAAATGGCATCACTGAGTCTGTTGAGGTATGCTCCTGTCTCTCTTACTTGTGCAGAGAATAGGTCTGGAGGACGAAACAAATTGTTCAGGGCACAGACATACTTGAGAAAATAAGAGAAATTGAAATATAGACAGTATTTCAGATTATTCTAAAACATTACTATTAATTTTATTAAGTGAAAATGGTAGTGTGATTATATAATAAAATCTCTGTATGTGTACAACACGCACACACACATATGGAAATATAGATATGGAAATATTTAAGGATGAAATTACAGAGATTTTCTGTAAAAATATTACAGCAAATTAAGAAGAGGGCTGGGAGCATAGTTCAATGGTAGAGCAATTACATAGCATGCTCAAGGCCCTGCATTCAATCCCCAGCACTGCAGAAAGGAAGGAAGGAAGGAAGGAAGGAAGGAGGGAAGGAAGGAAGGAAGGAAGGAAGGAGGGAAGGAAGGAAGGAAGGAGGAAGGGAGGAAGGAAAGAAAGAAGTAAAGAGAGAAAGAAAAGAAAGTAAAGAGAGAGAAGAAAAGGAAACAAGGAAGAAAGAGAGAGAGAGAGAGAGAGAGAGAGAGAGAGAGAGAGACACCAGGCATAGAGATACATGTCTGTATTCGCAGTTACTCAGGAGGCTGAGGCAAGAGGATTACAAATTTAAGGCCAGCCTTAGCAATTTAGTTGGCTATCTCAAAATAGTTATCCCTGTTTCAAAATAAAATTTTAAAAGCCTGGGGGGTGTAGCTTGTGGTAGAGTGCCCATGAGGCCCTGGATTTGATCCCCAGGAGCCCACCAAAAAAAAAAGAAAAAGAGAATTCTAGCAAGAGAGAAGAAGAGAAACAGAAAAGAAATAGAGAATGTTGCTGAACATTGATAATTATAGAATCTGGGAAACGTTATTATAGTAGTCTGAATAACAGACTTAAAGATATCAGGTCCTGTGGGCTGGGGATATAGCTCAGTTGGTAGAGTGCTTGCTTCTCATACACAGGCCCTGGGTTCAATCCACAGTACCACACACACACAAAAATTAACTACCATTTGACCCAGCTATCCCACTCCTCTGTCTATACCCAAAGGACTTAAAAACAACATACTATAGGGACACAGCCACATCAATGTTTATAGCAGCACAATTCACAATAGATAAACTATGGAACCTAGATGCCCTCCAGTAGATGAATGGATAAAGAAAATGTGGTATATATACACAATGGAATATTATTCAGCATTAAAAGAGAAGAAAATCATGGCGTTTGCAAGTAAATGGATGGAGTTGGAGAACATAATGCTAAGTGAAGTTAGCCAATCCCAGAAAAACAAATACCGAATGTTTTCTCTGATATGGGAGGATGATTCATAATGGGGTTGTGGGGAAGCATGGGAAGATTAGACAAACTCTAGATAGGGCAAAGGGGTATGAGGGAAAGGGAGCAGGAATAGGGGTAGAAAAGACGGCGGAATGTGATGGACATCATTACCCTGAGTACATGTATGAAGACATGAATGGTGTGACTCTACTTTGTATACAACCAGAGATAAGAAAGATTGTGTTCTATATGTGTAATATGAAATATAATGCATTCTGCTGTCATATTTGACAAATTAGAATAACAAATAAATAAATACATTTTTAAAAAAGATATTAGGTCCTAACCCTGAAACCTGTAAAGATTACTTTTTATTTTTTGTTCAATTTAATTGATTGATTGATTGATAAATACTAGGGATTTAAGCCAGTGGCACTTTACCACCAAGTTACATCCCAGCCCTTTTTATTTTTTATTTTGAGATAGGGTCTCCATAATTGCTGAGGCTGATCTCCAACTTTCTTTTCTCTCTCTCTCTCTTTTTAAAATATTTTAGTTGTTGGACCTTTATTTTATTTATTTGTATGTGGTGCTGAAAATTGAACTCAGGGCCTTATCCAAGCACTCTTCCACTGAGCCATAACTCCAGCCCCTGATCTCCAACTTTCCATCCTCCTGTCATCAACCTCTCAAATCACTGGGATTATAGGCATATGCCACCACGCCCAGCTAAATTAATGATCTTTCTTTTTTAACTTTATTTTGTTTATTTAT